TTTATAATTTTAATTATAGTATTCAGTATTCAGATCTGAATTTTAATGTCTCAAAAATATGTTTGTTTGTATATTTTATACTTTGTTTATTTTATTAGGTACAAAACAAACTTTCTGCTCTCTGATAAAGCAATTAGCTATAATGTTTCAATGATAATCTGAAAATGCATTTTATTATTTATTTACATATTTAACTTTGGTATGTATATGTGAAAAGGAAAAATATCGTGAAGTTCCTCACATGCTATTTTTAAGGTAATACGGCTGAGATTAAATATAATTATGTTTCATTATTAAAACTTTTAACTTTTTAATTGGAAAACACTTGAATTTCATTATCTTCCTTTTTAGTTTTTTTTCCTTTAGTTCCTTTTTAGTTTAGTAGTATTAAAACAGTTTTATGCAACTAAGCACAATGAAAACTTGATTAAGAGATTTATTCTTTACTTTAGACTGAGCTTATTACCAAAGTTTACTCATATTTCTGTTTGAAAGCTTTTTTGAACGTAACAATTATAATTTGGCGATTTTCTAGACATATTTTCTTTTAGGTTTCTGAATAGATTAAAATTATAAGCTGACACCCTGTCAGAAAATGAATTCCAAGTGTAACCTCTTAATCTTTCAACTACAGTTTGGAATATAAGTGTTTTTAATTTTCAATTTCATTTTATTTATATTTTTTTGGGGGGGATGGAACAGCTCTTAAAATTTAACGTATCTACAAATTTAAATACAATCACCTCAAACTATAGTAATAAATATATAGCATTTTATTAGAGTTTGTGAAGATTACAAAGAACTATATAATAAATTCTAATAAAATTTTGTAGCTACATGAATATACGTATGTTTATAGAGTCATCAGATTTAAAGTTCATCGTTTTTAGATTCTAAGTATACCTATTATATAAATTCATCATTCATTAATAGTATTATTTATAGCAATAGAAAATTAATATTAATGTTTCAAATTGTAATTTTTTAAAAATTTGACCAACATTTGCTGTATATTTGCTAAAAACGTGTGGATATGAGTTATATAGCATGAAAAATATACAGAAAGCAGTTAATCTTATATAACAGCTGATCGTGAAAGAAAAATATGAGTTATATTGCTTTTAAATCTCCCTAGCATAAATAGCTGTTTCTAAATTGACATTAGATTAAATTAATACCATTATCCATTAGAAAATAATTATAGTGAATCATATCTATTTTCAATATTTCTAAGAGATCGCCTTTTGAAACAGACCTGTATTTTTTTAAAACATAAACAAACATGGGCAGTGAATATCATATTTCTAAGACCACCACATCTACAGAGCTCTAAAATCCTTTAAAACCGTGAACGGCCACATTTATAGAGGGTTCACTATATTTTTTATAAAACATGTACATCTTAGTTATACACTTGCTACATTTTGATTTTCTGTCAAAACAGAGGAACAGTGAGTGGTTCTATTGCTTTAGAAGTATGTGAAATTTAAAAAAAAAAAAAAAAAAAACTTGGACTATATAACGAAATTGGAATCGGATTCAAAAACATACCTCTTGAACATGCCTGAAATTCATTATTCTGCTCGCAATAAATTTATCTAAAGGAAATGTTTAATAAATATTAGAACTCAAAAGCTAAGTCAGGTCAAAGAAGTAAGGGTCATTTTGTCTAAACATGTCTTTTCTTAATCGTACAGTGATTTTTCGAACAGCAAATGAAATGAGAAAGAGAGAATAAGTGCAGATGGTAGTGGACGAAACAACACTATTTCGAACTGGGCATAAAAAGAGAAAGGCTGAAATGTCAGTAAGCCACGGGAAGGGATGCCTTCGAGAAAGACATTTTAAAGGAAACTCACTCATATGCATGTTACACAAGACAAAAACCACAAAAGCCTCTTCCCACAATTTTGAGATGCTCCACAAAGCAGATTTTATGCTAAAATATTTTTTAAATTCTTGAATAGTCTTGCCATTATTCAAGAAATTTAACATTTAATTTATTTTTATTTTTAAGATTTTATTTATGAGATTTTAATTTTTTAATTTACAAGATTTAAAAAATTCTACTTTATATTTGCATTTCAGTGTGCGCACTATTTCGATATCCATAGGCTGAATGATGGATGTACAATTTGGAGGGAAAAATAATACAGATACATTTTCTTTCACTAAAGTGAAGTATGAGCTGTACAGTTATCTACAATAAGGACAATTTTTACATCCTCAGGTAAACCAACCGAATTCTGCCGAACCTCGGGTATGAAATGATTTTCATACCAATCATTCATTAACACTTGTGTTATCAATGTTGTTTTATTTGCACGTTACCTAAAAGGGAAAATCTTTACTCCTTTAAATGCTCAGGGGTCATGTATTTTTTCTGATTATGAAACGTTTACACTTATGTGTTCCTGCAGCATTTGCACATATTCAAATTTTTAGTCTTGCTTTGGAATCTTTGACACCAGTTGGAGCCTTTTCTGTAGATGTTGCCATGGTATTTTGTAATACATATTGCCAGAAAAAGGCCAGTTTCATTACCGTTGTGAATTTTTTAAAGAGATAACTTTTCACTACTAATGAATTCAATAAATTTATCTGCAGATAGTTCAGCAGCTTCAGTATCAACTGAAGCATTTTCCCCTGAAATTCTTAATTTCCTTATACCATGGTGATTTATAAATTTAGGTAACCAACCTATTGAATATGTGCACTCAGTTTTTAAGTTCATCTCTTAGTGAAATATTTTAGCTTGAGCCGTTAGCATTGGACCCATCAATAGCATGCCCTTGTTGTGATGCTGTCTGACCTATTCAGCCATCACTTTGTCATGATCTTCACTTATCAAATAATTTTTTTTGTTATTCATTGCGATTGGTGTGTCGGAATTCACAAAAAAGTTAAAAAGTTCCCTTTTTGTTTTCGTATGTCTTATACAGCTCATTTTCCAATGCCATACTCCTGCCTAATTTTGAGACAAATATACTGTTATCCATTTTTTGCAGCAATTCCACTGTTTGTTTAATGATCATCAAAATATGCTTTCACTTTATAGATCCTGTTGCAGCTCCAGAATTAGACATTCTTTTCGACATGATCGAAAGTTCAAACTTTAATTTTCATTAAATTTTCTGTATTAAAAACAGCCTGCAAAAAATAATAAGCTGGATCAAATCAGAAAGTTAAGGAATGGCGCAACCTGCTATATTGACTGAAATTCCTAGGAATCAGTAAAGTATAATTTTAGTGTAGATTAATAGCATCCGCTATACGTTATTGGCTATGTATCATGAGATTGGCGATGAAATTGAAGGCAGGCGCTAGATATCTTGCCGCCTGATGCAGTCTCTATGGGTCCTAAATTCTGCTACCAAGCGCATTCTTAAGTTCTAAATTTTTGCCTCCCTAAATTTTGGATCCCAGTGCTTTCCCTAAATTCGAAAAAATTTTCATCCCTTAATTTTGTTGCTGGGTGTTTCTCTAAAATTCCGTCTTTCCTAAATTCTGCCACATTGTGCGGTCATACGATCTCTGGCGCTGGTTCTGGGTTTATATGAAAAACAAATCAGTTATTCATAATTTAAATAACACTAAATGTAATCTTTTGGCCTATGAGTGTCATTAACAACACCTGTTTTTAGCATATGGAATGAAGTGTTTGCTAAATTTTTCCTCGTCAACATTTCTTAGCGCATTTCACTGAAATCTGTAATCATTGCCAAGTGTAATCTGAACATAAAAGGTTACCACACTCTTTGTTATTAAAAATTGTTTAGGCATCATTGCACAAGTCATTAGTCAAGTTGTCATGTGTTTATAAACATGCAGTGATGAAAGCGAAATATAATAAATAATGATTTGCCAGGTTGACATCAGAAATATAAAATATTAGTAGTTGGTAGAATGTTTCGGTTTGAGATGTATGTGAAGCAAATATGCAGCCAAAATTATTGTTTCTTCTAACGATGTATTTATTTAGTGCCAAAGTGAAATTAAGAATCGGGACTCTCCACATATTTTATTATTGGGAGGAAAAATCAAACGCGCATGTATGAAGCATACAAAAAAGAGTTGTTCATGGTTTTGAGGTCCGGATACTAGACGTCCAGATCTCGGACTCTGTACTGTATATGTATATTCTTTAAGTGACAACTAATTTCAGTCATATGGATCTTTACAAGTAGTAATGCCTTACTACTTGTAAAGAAAATAAAGAGTTGGTTACTCATCCACTTTTCAATCTTCATTGCTATTGCTTCCTACATCTCAGATCATGTCCATCTGGTCAGAAAACTCTCTGTAGCGAATTAATTTTGTGTTATCTGACTTCAAATAAATAACTTGCAAGTAAGCAACTATTTCTTTATTAGGAAAAAACAGCTTGCTCCTTCTTTACAAGCATTAACCACGTAGCAGTGGAACTAAGGCAATAGGATAAGTTAGTTATCAGCAGTTAGATATTACAGTAGCTCCTTCAAGAGGTAGACCTCATAATCCAAAATCAGGGCTCAGTTTGAAAGCTGCTGATACTGTAAGCCAACAATAAATAATTGCGTAATTTCTATTACAGCGTACTCGAAGAATACTTTTTGTCGACTTTTTGTTGGGAATGCAGATGATCAGAAATTGTCAGGAAATGTTATAAAAGTTGTCATTATTAAGATTTAGAAAATTATTTAATCTATTTCAGTAACCCTCCAAAATGGATCAAACTTTTTCACATTTAATTCATAACATTTAATAATGATATATCCGTTATTTTGGGTTGATTCTGTTATTTTAAATTAAATAACTTCCTTTAGTAAGTAGATTTCAAAGTACACAGTTATCTGAGCTATGACTCCTGTAAACTTGGAAATAATTTAGCCATCAAGGATTGCCATGCAGAATTAAAATATTTTTTAAAATTTTTTTTCAGATTTTTTTTTTAACGTAAAAAATTCTTAAATTTGTGTTAGATTAACGTATGCAATATTAATTTTTTTCTTTCTTTATAGAAAAATGCATTTGTTGTTTTTGATGTAATCAAGATGTTAAAAAAGGTATGTTTTTATTATATTTATCATAATTCCTATGTAAATACTTGATTGCAGTTGGAATTGATAAATAAATCTATAATAAAATATGGTGCTTTTCCATTATAGAGTTGTCACACATTTTGGCTAGTAGTTATAAGAATGGTTTATAGATTGCCAAAACATACCACATGCCAGGGGATAGCCAAAAGGCATGGCAGGTGCATAACCGAAAAGTACCTAAAATATTAATAATATTAATCCTAATCATTTATAAATGTTTTAAAATTTTATTGATGTTGATTCTAGTTTGTTCATTTATGTCAAATATTTAATTAAAAATTTTAGTAATTAATAATATTTTAAATTATTTTATGATAAATAGTATAATAGTTGCTTTGATGAAATAATTATTTTCCTCTCCTAAAACTGAATTCTGAAATTGTAATGCATCCATAAAAGGAAATTTAAAGTACTTTTAATATGTAACAATTCTTTGATTAGATTTGCCCTGTTGGTACTATGAATGAATGGCAGTTGTTTCCCTTAAAATATGGAATGCACCGCTGCTGGAGGAAACAGGTTTTAAGTACTCCAATGAGAAACAGTATTGATTTATGTGGATCATGTGTTGTTCTTAACTGTTCCACAATGGTAAGTGAATTTAGATAACACAGATTTTTTTTATTATTATTATTTCAGAAATTAACGACCAATTAAGCTATGGCTCGTATATGCAACATAAGGAGTTTGAATATCGTTGACACATTACTTCTAATTTTTTTTTTTGCTTATTTTATAATCACTATTGTTAAAAAGTTAGTTGAGTTCTTTATGCATGGTTCCCACTACCGTTTCTTGGTTAAAATAATTTCCAGAGTATTGACATTGAGGTCTGAAGTCAAGAGAATAAACTGAATATTATGGGAAAAAAATATATATAATTTACTTTCAATAATTGCGAGGATTGTGCAAGTACCATATATTTGTAATCACAGTATTATTCAATTTAACAATAGAGTAAAATTTTACAAATGAATACCGAACGTTCAGATAAGCACATTAAATTTGTGAAAACTCTGCATGTGTATTTTTTATAAAATACTTGTGGTGCTTTTAATGCATGCATAACAATCAAATAAATCTGCCTGTAATGATGAATTTCAAAGGCCAAGTCAAAATCATTTCATGAATTCAATACTTCAAAAGAATTTAATCTCATCAAATTAAATCCTCATTACACTGATAAGCAGTTATTACTGATCTCCGTTACAAAACAGATTTTTATGCAAGATAAATAATATTTTCTGAAACATTATTTTGTGTTGTCATCCCTAAATAAGAAATTGCCTATATATTCAGAAGGCTTGCGAATTCAGAATGCTGCACTTTCTTCTTCCATATATGTTATGAAATTTTTCCATACATTTAAAAGAAAGTGTTTCTTCAGAGTCTTGTACAATTATTTCCATAAATGAAAGTGATTGTAAGCTTATTTTACCTCATACTTAATTGACAACATTTTCTAAAGTTATTTTTTGAGTATGAATTTACAGTATTTTTGTTAAAATATCTTAAGGTAGACTTATTTTGCACACTCTAACTATTTACCCATTTGACACTATTGAACATTTTTATTCATAATCTTATTTATTTTCCTCCGCGAACTAAACTGAAACATCTAAAGCATAAGTAATTTTGAATATGTTTTACAAAATATATGTGAAATTTTTATTTAAGTGAAAATATCTATATATTCAAGAGCTCATAAATTGCCCGAAAAGTTTATATGTACGGAATCCCATACGTCTATAAAATCGATCTTTAAAAAACAGCAGACATTCAGCCAGTGTCTGTGATAAACACGGTAAAACTGGCAGCGCTTTCCCTTTCTCACCAAGAAGGAAAAGTTGGTGATTCAGCTTGGTATATAAAAGCCGTACTTGTGGATGTGCCAAAAACTATAATACATCAGAGTTGCCAACTGTCCCGATTTCAGACAGTTCTCACACCAACCTGATTTTCAACAGATTCTCCCGACTTTTTCTTATTCTTAAAATTTCTCATGATTTTTATGTATCTTGGCTTAATACTTCATTATTTAAACCAAAAAAGTGATTTGGGGCATCACTTGGTTTTCCTGTAGATTACATCTAAAAGAAAACCAAAGTTGTTTGGTCAATGAGAAATTATGGCGCGCCTTTGCTATAAGTAAGACCATTTGTTATAAGTAAGTGTTAAAAAATGTTGTGTTCCAGTTTTCCAGTCAGCATCGAGCGCTACTGTATGTCATCTGGCATATATTAGCCAATGAGCACAAACCAAGAATCAAGGCTGTAATTTCATTCATGGAGGTAGGAAGTAAGAGGAAAGACTCTAATTGATTTTTTCCATGCACTGCCTTGAAGCAATGGCACACCCCTCGTGGAGACCAAAATATTCAGTCACTTGCCATTAAGATTAACTGGTTGCAGCATGTTTGGAGGTAAACATTTTGTAATTGTGTCGTAAATATACATATAAATGTATATATTTTCTTTTTCTACAGTATATCAGAGTACTAAGTATGTGAAAAGAATGTATTTACTTCTTTGTACAAAGTAAAAAGGAAGTATTGTAATCTCGAAAAATTTTAGGCATCATATGTCGACAAAAATATCGATTTTCACCACTATTGAATGTAATTTAACGATGTTTTTGCCTAACATCTGTATGTAAGAACAGAATAAAAGACGCTTTTCCTCAAAAAAAATTATAAAACTGATATAAAATGAATTCTGAAGAGAATTTTTCATGGTGTCTGTGCGTACATACATACATATCTTGCATAACTCAAAAACAAGTAGTCTCAGAATGTTGAAATTTTGTATATAAGATTGCTATAACATGTGGATGTGCACCTCATATTTTGAATGCAGTCGGCCACACCAAAAGTATATAAATATATATATATATATATATCCCCAAACAGTATTGATTAATTGATTATATTATCTCCCAAGTTTAACCAAAGTAGAACCATTCTAAAAGTGTGCATCCATACTGGCAAGCCATATTTTGAAAGATGCCCTGAAGCAATTTGAAAGCAAAATGTTAACAATGTTTTAACGGGGACTGGAGTTAAATCATCACGAAGAATAATATATCAATTGCAAAAGGAAAAATTAAAACATGTAATTATTGTCATTGATCGGAAATTAGTTGACTTTTCAAGGGGAACAAACCAACTCCCGCTCAATGAACAACAATTGATAAAAATACGTAAATATGAAAGTGTTTCGTCTTTACTCGAGTTATAAGTTAAAGCCAAACCGGCAATTCCAGTCAGGCCAAAAATTTCCACGAATAGTTGCTACTCAAAGAACTTATTCTCATGAAGCACTCCAGTCAATTCAATTTGGAGTAAAAATCAATTACTGTAGAGAAATCCTGTAAAACTCGAGTAACCGTCCCCGACACTATCATCTTTATGCATTCGAGCACTATATTACCCGTAGAAATCAAACACCGGAAATTGTCATTATGAAACCGAATTCAAAGCAAAGTTGAAACAAACATAGAAGACCACAAAAAAGATAAACAATGCAAACTTTGCAAAAACAAATCAAAGAAAACATAAAAATAATATAAAAATAATATAGAAAATAATATAAATAAGATCAGTGAATGTACATGAAGATATAAAGGCCAGTAAGGTATTAAGTAACTTACATTCTTTCTAGTGGGGGAGTTGGCAAAGTGTTCTCTTCGTGTCTGACTCAGAAGTGTAGGGTGTCCGAAAATTCTTAGCGGCAGTAGGGGCTTTGAATAATATCAGTCGGTAAGACTTGGGTGAAGTAATTTATGGTAGTGGGTGGGACTTGGAATTCTTGAGGGATGTATTTTGTGGAAGTTCTTATCTGAGAGAGACCGTCTGTTAAGATTTTTTTGAAAATACTAGTGAATGGAAATTAATTAATTTCTGGCTAATTGTCGTGTCACAATGATTAAGAATTTAAGAAAGGAAAAAGGCATTTTCACTGTCCAAGAGCTAATAGACAGTCTAAAGGCAGGAAATAGGCCCATTTTTTTAGTAACAGTATAGTAACAGTATATGTCTGAAGACAATTAGCTTTTTACAATATATACAATTGAGTAATTACACTATATACAAATCCTTCAACTGACAGTCATCCAACTTATACCGCCTTCTCAGGTTTAGGAATAAATTATCATATCCCTATCAGTTAAATGATTTAGAGTGAGTATTTAATGCCTGCTCTTTTAAGGCAATGGTTGATAAATTAAAAGGGAATTAGATTATTTTTGAGAATTTTGATAAGGATCAAAATTTCGTGTTGTAAATCTATTGTATCTGTGCATATAGTTTTAATTCGTTGTATTTGATTAATTATAGTATTGTTAATTACTTTTTTGGATATGTTGGAGTTCCAATTTATTAATTTGTTAGTATTGAAATTGAAGTTTCTTGTTTTGTCAAAAGTAAAAATTTTTTTGTAGTTAATGATTTGAAGATCTAGAAAGTCTATGCTATTTTGTGAATTATTAGTTTTATTAAGTTTAAGACAATTCGGATAAATGTCGGAGTTTTCAATTCAAAATTCAAAATTATTAATTGTAATAAGGTCATCAATATATCTGTAGGTGTGTTTGTAGTAATTTAACTCTTGTGGTTGTAGATTTTTTTTGGAAGTTAAATTCTTTGACAAATAAAAAGATATTACAGATCGAGGTGCTGGAATGTAAGCCCATTGGCAATCCTCTGACTTGTTTAAAAAGTTGATTTTGAAACTTGATGTAGTTATGAAAAAGTGTGCATTTTAGGTAGGTTTTCCATTTGTCAAGAGTCATGATATTGAGTATATTAGGGAAAAGTTTTGGTAGATCAAGTAGACTGGTATAGATTTCTTCTAGAGGAAGTGAGGTATATAAGTTTTCAAAATCATAGCAGTTAATGTTTTGGATGTTAATGGTATGAATGGTATTAATGACAGGAGTGTTATTATGAATGATCCAGCAATAGTTATGATTAGTGTTACAATCATTGAAAATAAATTTACAGATTTTATTAAGTTGAATTGAAAAATAATAGTCTATATTTTTCTTGTAATTATTAGTTCCATTAGCTATAAATCTAAATTTTTTAATGGTGTTTTATGGAATTTGGGAATCGCATAAAGATTAGTAAATCTGTTGTAGTTTGCATTGAAAGTAATATTGAGTTTCTTATGAAAAGTTTTAATCCTGTTTATTATAATAGATGTTTCTGTAAGGTTGGCTAATTGATAAGTAGTTGCGTTGAGAAGTTCTTTATGAATAATCTCAGTGTAGAATTGTTTTCATATAATGCTAAAGTTATTAGTTGCTTTATCTATTTTTGTAATAGTAAAAAGCTGTTTTAATTTACTAATATCTGATGTAAGTTGTGACCAATTCAGTGTACTTTTAAATTTGAGGTGACTGATTTCCGTGGATATGCATTGAAGAATTTTAGCTTTCCATTTTAAGAAGGTATCTATGGGTAAAATTCAGTTGATAGCTTGCTTTAACTATAAATTCGTTGATGTTGTTTTCGAAAGTCTTGTAACAGTAATTTGTAGTCATGTTTCTGACTGGTCTAAATTTTGTACCATAACTCATTAGTGTTTTTTAGTTGATGGTTTTTGTATGATATTCAGGTTGCCAGTAATTATGTGCTGGTGATGAGAATCTACGTAATTGCTGTAAATTGGTGTCTTACAATGTCATTCTGCAGTTTCATCTATTTCATGGTGGTTAGTAAGCAAGTTGCTTAAGGTCCTTTGATATTTAAATGCAATCATTGGTATTGTGTCAACTGCGGGGAAGTAATCTTTACAATCTCTGATGATTCTTGAGAAATGAATATTGTCAAACTGCGGATGCAGAAAATTGACTTTAAAATAAATTTTGCGTTGAGTGAGACTATTAGAGAGTCTGAAAAGACTAAAATCAGGAATCATGTCTTTAATGATTTGTATGTCGTCGTAGCTTTCTTTCTTGAATGAATTTTTTTAGTTTGATAAGGAATTTATTAGTACAGGAGTGTAACCAGTTGAGAAGTTTCTTTCTTGGGAAAGCAGTCTGAGTCAAAAAAACATTTCAATTGTTTTTTCAATGCAAGTGTATCCAAAGTGGATAAAAATCTCGCATTATTTTTTATTTTGCTTCCTCTTTTCCTCTCGCGTTTTGATGCTGTAGAGTTTAAATTGGCTATATATATATATATATATATATACAGTCAAAAGTCTTTAATCCGGACTCGTCGGGACTTCGGCGATTCCGGATTATAGATCATCAGTTTAAATCTGGTAAGATGGCATGCAGAAATTATAAAATTAAAAGTATGAAACCGTAATTTATAAAATAATGAGCAATTATGATCTAAAGGGTATCAAAATTTACAAAAAAAGAAGCTTAATATTTATTTGTTTACTTTATTAAACATTTCTTTCAACGCGCGCATGCGTACCTTACGCATAGCCGAAATTAGAAAATTGCAACCAGAAAACTATTTGATTTGTATTCGTGATATTTATAATGACGAGGAATTAGATTTAAATCATATCAAAGATGGAGTACATGGAGATTAAATACTACATTTAGTAAGGAATTATAAGCCGAATAAAATAAAAACATCTGTCCTGAAGATAAGGATAGTGCTGACAGATCAACTTTCAGTTCATTCCGCAGAGCAGCGTGAAATTGATAAACAGATTTCGGAACGGTTAGATAAACAAAGGATATACCTTTATCCATTTTTTGTAGCAATTCGTTTTTTGTTTGATGGACATCGAAACATACTTTCATTTTCTAGATCCTTTGGGAGCTCCAGCATCGGAAATTCTATTTGACATAATCGAAAGTTCAAGCTTACTTTTATAAAATCGCTCTTACAGTCTGCAAAAAATAATAAGCCGGATCCAATTCGAAGATTATGGAACAACGCAATCATCAACATTAACTGAAATAGATAATTAGATAATTATACCGTCCGTTATACATTAAACAGGCACACGAAAATGTATTCTGCGCTTGCGCAGACGCATATGCGAAGTCGTAAATGTCTTGCGCGCACGCGTAAAACGCCTATGAGCATGCGTCAATGCGGCGCATGCGCAGAAAGATTTTAGCTTTGAGGTCCGGATTATGGGTGTCTGAATTAATGACTTTTGACTGTATATATTATAGCTGTTCCCCGGCTCAGTAAGCTCAGTTTCTTTATTCTTATATGCTTGTAAATTGTGCATTTTTTGCATTAAAAATGATTGAATTACGTTGTTCTTATCTTCCGGTTAACGGTTCTTATCTAACGGTTACCTTTAGTAAATCTGCGTGCAATATTTGTAGAATTACTAACAATTTAAAAGTTGTTTAAGTGCGGCTAAGCCTAAGTATTTTTACGTCATGGGGGCCATGTTTGTTTACATTTGAAACGTAGCAGAATAGTGGATTTGTTGCCAATCTAGAGGAACTAAGCTTCGCAAGCAACAAAGATAACGCCTTTCATTTATTATTGCGAATTAAATCATGCTTAATCCAGTTCTGGAATTTTATTGCGAGGAAATAAAGTGTTTAAGATTTACTTCGTAATTTTTAATATAGATATTTTGAGTTTTTATGTATTTTTGCCTTGCCGTGATGTGAGAACTGAATTAATTGAATGAGAAATACTGAATCATCTTTGAAAAGCTGTTCTGTTTCTCCCTCCTTAATTTCTTTTAAATATCGTTTACACAGAATCCTCTTTAAAATAAATAAAAAATAAATTCAGCAAGGGAAACATTTTCCGATTGCTGTCAATTTATCTTGTGAAGAATGAATATTTATTTTGTTGTCGTCAGGTCTTGACAAATTTTTGCTGTTTTGTACAATTTATTTTCCCATCATTCCAACTCCACGAAGAATTCCATTTATTCATGTTTTGCAATCAATGATTTATGATCTTTTTAAAGCCACTTTATCAAAGTTCATAAAACCAGTCATTGTTTTGGCTTCTAATTCTATATACGATGTGATTTATTGTGAAATAGACAATCAAACAAAAGATGAAGATTTGGTAATATGGGCTGCAACTAAAATAGTAGTAAAAGACCTTTCAGAGGAAAGCAAGACAAAAATAAGTTTTATATCCATGTTAGAAGCTACCGAGTATGTGATTACATACTGCATAAATTTCCAGTCAACGATGAAGTGATTTTACATGCTAAAGTTGCAGGTGTTTCATCTCTAGCAAACGCATCTTTTTCTCATCTTTTTAATGATCAGTAACTTCATTTTGTTATGAAAGATTATGATACTGATGTTGCAACTGATAAATTGCAGTCGCAGTTTATGATAAGAAAACTTTGATAAAGTTATAAAACTGGCTAGGATTGCCACTGAGTGGAGTTTAATTGGAAAACTGAAAGGTGTTAATGGAATTTAAAATTATATTGGTCTGTCTAGATTAGTGTTGGCCATTCTGATAATTCCCATAGTAATGCAGAGTACAAAAGAATTTTCAGTGTTGTTGTGAAAATAAGGACTAAATTTAGATATAACATTAGTAATGACACATTAGAAAAACTTTACAAAGCAGGCCCATGTGGCAATTGCTATGAACAAAATTATGAAGTTTCTTAATGAAAGCAAAGTCTGACACTGTTCAAAGCATTTGTACAAAAGATGATTAAAGTAGTTCCCCCCACCCACCCCCAAAGGGGAGTTTGTAAAACTCTTTACCAAACTGTCAGTACCATTCTCCACATGTACCATTGACAGAGTGTAGCAAATGTTGTTCAGAGGTTTGGCAAACTTATGCCAGTTGGCAATAATGGCTCTTTTGACTGGTGTGATATAATAATTGATGTTCAAGAGAATTCTGACTGGGTTGTGGTCAGAAGATGTTCATCTAGCATCAAAATATCCAGTGGATCACTGGTATTTCTGAGCAAGAAGAAGTCTAAAAGGCCCATGGACCCAGTACTATATCATGGTTGGGTTCTAGGAGCTGCTATGCATAATACAGCCGACTTGGCCAAATTGTAACACATTCTTTGCTGTTAGTATTATGGGAGTTCCATGCGTAATGTCATGAATTTCAGTCTCCACATATAATAATACGATTTCCAAGCGTAAGTAGTATTTTTAAGTCGGTAGTAATTGATGTAAGATTCCTACTTAAAGGGATATAAGTGGAGGCAAATGTGTATGTTATAGAAGTGTTTGTTGTGAGTGTAAGAGCTAAGCCTCAGTGGCTAAAAGTTGTGGTATTGTAACAGAATATTTATGAATACAGCGTTTGATATGACTTGCTGTATGTCTAAGATTATTGGTATCCATACTTTAACTGAAAATATCTTTGAAAAAAGAACAAATAGTTTATCAATAGAATTTTCAGTTTCATGCAGCTTAGGAATATTTTAAAATTATATGCATAATAGAAAGACCTTTGAACATATTTTTTACTTCATTGATAAATTTATGAATGTCTTTTAAAGGATCCATAAGTACACCAAAGATCTGTTCAGTGTGTTTGTTAGAATTATTTGCAACGTAATCAGGAACACATTCTGGTAAAACGTTATAAGGTACATGATTTTTAACCACATTAGCATGCATGGTTCCAGGTGGAATATTAGAAGTTCGAACACTTGTGCTCGTTTTATCCTGAGCCTGACCAGTAGGTGATTTGACAGAAACATTTTGGGTTGAAAATTTTGAATAACCATGGTAATTCACCATGTCTCCAGTTTGGCCACAATTTCAGCACTTAATATCAAGTCATTTGGCAGAACAATTTCTGTTTTGTGGGGCTTTACAAATTTAACACAGCAGGGCTTGAGCCAACATACTTCTGATAAATGGTTAAAATGCTGACAGTTGTGGCATTGCACATTGCTACCTTTAACTTTATATGGAACAATGGTCGCACTGAAAAACATGACATTTGAAATCTCATAAATCATCTCAACACCCAGTTCGTTAATAATTTATGTCTGGTATCGGGGCTTTAGTCTTAAGTTTGTACATCCTGGCAATATGTTTAACTTTAAAAACCTTGGTCTTCCAATTTCATCTAAAGACATGTCAGCAGGGAAACCTTTGCAAACCATCTTAACTTTCAATTATGGCAGGTATAACATAATGATCAATAACTTTTTTATTTAAGTTTCTAGATATTACCCGGTGATCATTTTTGGTTTTCAGAAAAACTTTCAGAAATTCCCTGTTGACTTGCCTGTGAACTCTGAATTTGTATTCTTTTCCAACTGTTTTAAAAAATCTGAGAATTTTGGTGCTTGGTTGGACAATAATGGGTTTAATCTTAGGGTATTGAGAGGACTAAAAGTATCATCAACAGTATTTACAATAATAGAATTATTGACAAACTGAGAAAACTTATTTATGTAATGGCAATTCAATATTAGCTTTATGTAATTTAATGAGACGAGTAGCTGTAAGAGAACCCATCCATATCTTTGATATCAATAGTAGTACTTTTACTTAGTTTAGTGGAGCCTTTACGAGGCAGACTGATACTTGGGATGTTAGCATTATATTTATCAGCATGAACAGTATTTTCACTAACATTTGAACTAGATAAAGATTAAAGATCCACACACCTGGAATAGTTATTCTTATTTTCATAGAACTTGTTAAGCCACACAAACATAGAAACACTGTCATTCAAGTTCTGTTTCACACGACCACGAAGTGAAAGAAACTAATTGGATCATCGTCACCACGTGTTGGTAGAATGTTGTTATCTTCAAGGTCACTAGCCGACAGAGGTTGAGATTCTGCCATGAGTATGGGGGAAGCATCCCCTTCTATTTTGCAGACTGGAGGCACAATACAACCTTTATTAGCCTGTGATACTTCTTCAGCAAATGAAGCAACTCCAATGATGGAACACAGAAAAAAACTTTATTTAGCATTCAAATGGCGACATGCAAAACAGGGAAAAAAATGAATTGTAACATTTAAAAATAAATTACATTCTTCGTGCAAGAGTCGCACGTGGCACTCGAGTCTGGTTTCAAATATTGCCATTCACAAATACCTTAATGTTCATCACCTGTTTAAATTATTTAAACTACAAGATTTTAATAATATTTAAAGCTGACCTCTCCCCCAACGGAGAGACTTTTGCCGAAGGGAAAAGTTCCGTAAGATTCGAAAGTTTATAAGCTCGGCTTGCTCAATTGCTTAAAGAGAAAAGGTAATTTCTCTTATAAATTTCTAAATTTCAGGCCAAAAATTTTAATTTTTAAACAAATACTTTTACACCACATTTAAATAGAAAGAAATGGAGAACATTCAAATACATCAGTTGAGCATACATTAAATAATAAAATAAATTCTAAACGTGGTTACATACACTAAGTTATTATATTACTTAATTCTACTCAGAACATCTACGTTCTTGTGAAAGGATCCTTTGCGATGAATGACCTTAAAATTATAAGGTTGTAATAAGAGTGCCCAGCGCATCAATCTAGAGCAGTGTTTCTTAACCTTTCTAGAGAGTCGCACCCCATTGAATCTGAAAATATATCTCCTGCACCCCATTGAAAAATGTTTTTAATTTTTTTAGTCTAGAAAAATACATTTTTTTGCGAAACTTATTGTTTATTGAAAAACATTGTACATTTTATATAAATACAAAACAATATTATTTTTATTAATGACTTGTCTGTTGTTGTTTGTTCATTATTATACTGGCGAAGCGAGGTTCCTTTTTTGAAAGACATATGCATAAGTCATCACTTGTATTTAAGCAATTTCTCGCTTTAGATTTTATATGCAAAAGTGATGAAAATCCCATTTCGCACAAGTAGGTGGTAGCAAAGGGTAAGAGTAACTGCAGTACTCCGTTCGCCAACTCTGGATAACGTTGTAACTGTGAACACGTCAGAATTGTTGCAAATCTAATTGTTCGAATTCCATTTGAACATGTCCACTTGCTTGCATTTCAATAAGATGATCTTTTTTCAGATCACTATCATCCATAAAATTTAAGTCAAATAGAAATGGATCCAGTATCCATCTCTGAGTTTTGGTAATATTTCCGGTAGAAAAATATCCATTGAATGATTCGCTCAATCGTCTCAAATGTATTACAATGTCGGGTATAATTGTATTCTTTTTCATTTTTCGCAATAACAGAATCAAGCAAGGGAAAGTTTGCAAAATTCCTCTTTTCTACTCGACGTATCCAAATTTCTAATTTTGCGATAAATGAAGATAATTTTTCACTAGATATTATTATATTTATACCAAATCCTTGCACTGATAGATTCAATTCATTTAAATGGCTAAATATGTCTGCTAAGTAGGCCAGCCTCAGCATTGCATCATTACTCTCAAAATCTTTTACTAAATAACAGTTTTGACTAGTCAGTAATTGAATAATTTCCTCACGCAATTCAAAAACTCTGTTAAGCATGCGACCCTTAGATAACCATCGTATTTCGGTGTGATCTTCGCAAAATGCACGAAAAATGCGATGATTAAGCACTCGCCGTCGGATGTATTTTACTACATTTACTGCTGTAGTTAGATGTTGTTTTAAACTTTCTAGCAATGCTTTCGACGCAAGTGCATGATGATGCAACATGCAATGCATTTATTATAACTTCCGGTAATTCTCTTTTCATGTGTGAAAAAAATCCTGAATTTTTGCCTAACATTGCTGGGGCTCCATCAGTGCATATTGAGCTAATCACATTCATTGGTAATTGATATTTAGTAAAAACATCTTTGATGCGATTGAAAATATCAATTCTGCCTGTTCTCGTTCGTTTGTAGCGTTTCATGCCTTTTCGTAGAGTAGTGTATACGCCCATCGGCACCGGCTCTTTCCTGTGTCTTTCGCCCATAAGTGAGCTAGGTGCTACCAATTTTATGAGCTTCAGTATTGGGGACACTATTGCGATTCAAATATTTCATTATAGGAATTTAATAAATGATATTTAATAATTTTTATCGTTAGGTAGGGGCTTCTCCCGCACCCCCAAAAAGACATTCCCGTACCCCCAGGAGTGCGGGCACCCCCGTTTAAGAACCACTGATCTAGAGTTACATTTGGCATTGGATTGTAGCCAGACCAAAGGGTTATGATCAGTTTGAATCAAGAATTCTTGCTGACCATCCAGATAAATCTTGATAGCGTAGATGATAGCAGCGCACTCCTTGTCAGTAGTACAATAATTCTTTTCAAACTTAGTAAATTTTTTGCTTATATACAAGACATGATGTTCACGTTGTTCATCATCTAATTGGCATAGTACTATACCCATACCATTGTCTGAGGCATCGGTTTGTATAATAAACCTTTTATCAAAGTCGGGAGCATACAGAATTGGTTTCTAGCATAGCAACTCTTTTAAAATTTTAAAAGCTTTGTCACATATTTCAGACCATTGTATATTTCCTTTTTTTTTTTTTTTTTTTTTTTTGTTTCCCTTCAAAGCATCCGTGAGGGCTGAAGCAATTTCCGAAAATCTCGGTATGTACTGACGATAATACCTTACAGTCCTAAGAAAGCACGTACTTCTGTTTTGGTTTTAGGTGTAGGATACTCCTTTACAGCCAGGATCTTTACTTATTTCAGCCAGGGTTCGTTGTCCTTGTCCCACAACATGGCCTAGGTATCTCACTGATCTTGTGCAAATTTACATTTTTGGAGGTTTTAGTCGTAAGTTTGCTTTCTGTATTCTCTCTAGACAGAAGTTAAGTTTTTAAAGGTGCTCTTCCCAGTTTTCTGAGTAAATGGCAATGTCATCCAGGTATGGGTACAGCGAAGCCTTCGCATCCGCAGGACTTAGTTGTTTATATAACTTTGCTAAAAAAAACATGGGGCATTTTTTAATCCAAAGGGGTAAACGTAGAGGCCTGAAACTTCCAAAACTAGTTACAAATGTTGCATATCTTTGGCTCTTTCTGTTAACAGAATTTGCCAGTAGCCTTAGATAAATCTAATAGGGTAATATATTTTGCTTTTGCTACAGTTTCAATCAATACATTCTTCAATATTAGGCAAA